TTGTTAATAATAAAAAGTTATTGTGAACTTTATTTTTATATACACTTTTTAAAGTTACCAAACTCGTTTAGCAAAGCTCATATATACAGCAAAAATATCTGTTGTTTTCACTAAACGGATGTTATTTTTAATTCATCCATTGCAACATCAGCCGATGAAATTGAGCATTGCGAGAAAATCTTTAATGTCGTCGGACAGGGAGAATTTTAATTAACAGCTTGAAGATAGGACTGTACGATATTTATCTGCATGCGCCTCTAACTGAAAACAAGTCGCGGCAAACAAGATAGACGAATATCTGCGAATATCTGGCCGCGTCATTCGCCTTCCGTCACCCACTGACCTAGTAGGAGTCAATTTCACCGGAGCCACACCATTTCTTCAATCCGGTATCGAGGCGAGCCAGGCGCCACGCCGCGGCCGCGTCGATTCGCCAGCCGGAGAGCAGAAGTTATTAAATATTCCATTATCGGGATTCTTGCACTTGCAAGCAGCTTAACAGCCCGGTCTGCTTTGTTTGAGCTCTATTCTGTAATAGCTAGCACACCGGAAGCGCGCCAAGCCGTGTGCGCCGCCTCCAGCTTCCGAAATTACATCCCCTATCTTTGTTCGCCGGAGCGAATTATTATTAATAATGCAACGACGCGACTTTGCATAGAGTGAACTTTGCAATTGCATGACTGCACTTACTGATATAGACCGTTTCGGGTTGTTCAAATAGTTCCATCGCGAGGGTATCTATAATTTGGAGCTTAATCCTCAAGACGTTGAAATATTCATAACAAATTTTAAGCTGCATTGGAACGTATGACGTAATTATTTTCACATGCATTAAAATTAGGCCGATACATCCAGTTGAGTCATGTAATGTTGCATAAAAAGCATTTAACATTTCGGAGTAATCGAACATTTTTTACGTAATCATCAGCAGATAAGTATGCCGAAACAACAATATCGCTTCAAAACTAATACTGTGATGCGATAAACTTGGGACTTAATAACAGTCCATGCTCGAGTCCATGAAAGTTTTATCGTATTCGGTGAAGATAATCGATCCGGTACGCGAACGCGATTAATAATCCACTCGGTGGCGCATCTGGAAGCCGCGCACGTGATTGTAGCATCTGGATGGCGCCGTTAGGCGTGTTTCGTCTTTAAACAGCAACGGCCTTGCCGCGGTTCCGCGAGACACGCAGCTTTCTCTACTTTCGCTTATGCGAGATTTTCAGGTTGCCGTTTAGCGCCGTTTGCGCGTTCTGAACGGCGCCGAGAAACATATTGCATTCCAAGAGAGAAGAGAAAAAAATTCGTCCTATTCGATGTGCAAGGGATCGACACGCGTTCTCTCGCCGACTCACTCATTAAATTATCCTCGTGAACCAGTCCATTAAATTGCAATGTATTTGGGGCAATTAGCGAGATGATTAATTTATTTAGAAAAAAATTTTTGACTGCGATCAAAGTGGATAGTTGGTTCTAATTAAGTAGTAATATTTATTTCATCAAGATTAATGTAATGTGTAATCCTTTAAAAGCGTATTGGTTATTTTGTTATTTATAATCATCAGATATATATAACTATATTTTAGTAGCATTGTTATGAATGTTTTCTAGAAATTGTTTCTGCCAATTCCTAATATCTAGCACCAAAAAAATATTATGTAGCACAAATTAATCCTACAAGATTAAGAGAAAAGCGTTTGGTATTTATAACTATAATTTCATGATTGAATTATGGATTAGATACTCTATTACTATGCTACAGTGGTAATAATCATTATATTCATACTTTCATATATTAAAAAAATATATTACATCAAATTTATCATTTTCTGTACTTTTTTTAATATATAACTTTTTACCTGCGCAATTTTAGTCACTAATATTAAACACTTTTCTCTCAGTGTACTATCTTTAAAGATACCGTCTTTGTTGTTATGAAATCTATCAATGTGTCTTGTGCGAGTAAATGGAATTTGATCGTGGGTGAACCTCCCATTTGCGTAACGTAGAAAAATTATCTAACAAAGACTTTGCCGCAAGTAGAAGTGTGGATGTATGCCGATTATGCGAGTAGGCATTTGAATAATGCAAAAATGAATAATGCGGCCACGTTTATGGTTACTAAACTGCAATAGCATATATATATAAACATATTTGGTATGAGATAAATATCCTAATGACTAAATTAATAAGAAGACATATACGATTAGTTCTATACTATTATTGATTATTAATTAGTGGTATTACAAATTAATATCTACATAAAACTTTGTTTTGCCAATAACCGAAAAAATACTATAATGAGTCTAAAAAAGAATATTTGATTGATGATTACACCATTAATTATATCAGTAACTAATTTCTAATAAAATTAATTTTTAAATTAATTTTCATTTATCATAAAATATACACTACATGTTTAGATAAATACAGCATAATATTTTAAAAATTTCAAAAATCTAAACATCCCATACAGCAAGGATCATTATAGAAATATTGCAGCAATTTGCGACGTTCCAATAATAATGTAATAACATTGCAAACGTTGCTGCAAGTTTCTGTGCTACATAGAATTATTTTATTCAAAATGATAAAAAGAAAAGAAAAAATATATTATCCTGCGAAATTTGATAGAAATAATTTTTATTAAGACAGTTATTAAGACATTTACTTTATCCTCTAACCTTTCATGTATAATAACATGAATCTAAATTAGTACGATATATGATCTCATATATACAATCTTTCAGTTCAATCGCTCGATCGCGATTGAGGTACCTGTTGCTTGCGGAATAAAACTTCCATCAGTGGCGGAATTCTCCTGACGTTGATTAAGCTTGCCTCGAAAGAACGCTAAACGGCGACGAAAGAGAGGCTGCATCGGAATGTAACCGTTGGCGGCCGGTTGGTATTTCACGCGAGGTTACTATTATTTTTTTCCTATTCTCGTGTTCGTCCTTTCTTTTTCCCCGATTCGCGTCGATCCGTAGGTAGGGAATAATGATGGGTCGGCGGCATGCAAATTGATATATTCTGTACAATTAACACAATGTGTGCGCGCGCTCGATGTCTTGTTTTCATATAACTCGGTAATTTGCCTTAATTAATTTTGATAGACTTAGTAAACATTAGTAAGATAGAATATGAAGAAAACGATTTGCGCGCGACACGCTCTTCTTCACTTTTATACAATTTAATTCGAGTTTTACGTGGAAGTTCGCGTGCAGTGTTGTTATAAATTATTACACATCCCCATTTGGGATATATAATTATTTGCCACGCCCAATTGCTGAAAAACTCTAAACTCTCATCTACTTTGCCGTAATTAATTAGCAACTTTTAATCGTAAATAATAAGGACTTATAAGAATAATGTCTGCAGTATATCCTGGTGAGTAAAAATCAGCATATGCTATAAATTTTTAGTAAAATTGTATTGATGAATACATTTGGTTAAGAGTTTTGTTGATATAGTTACACTGTTTGAAAGTACATTGTAAACCTGGTTAATTTTCTGTGGCAGTTTACAAATACTTAGAAAACTATAACAAAAATGTTTGATAATACATCATTAAATATTTGACATTTTATAGCCATAAACATCTCATAAACAATTCCATGTTTAAATTTTCATCTCATAAACCATACAATAAATTTAAAGTAAATAAAACATCTACTTAATACTAGGCAAGTTTCTTATTAACTTTCAATAAGTTATTTTAGTCTGGTACAAAATAATATGCAACGTTAATTTTTCATATTCATATATATATATATATACATATACATATATATATAAATATGCATGTAACGTTTATTTAAGAATTGATTTTTTAAGAAAATAAAAAAATTATTAAAAATTGTGCAAATTATCGTACTCGAAGGTACTACAAAAAGTTTAATAGCGCTTTATAACTACAAATTATTTCAATAAGAAGTATAAATATGTTTTTAAAAAAATAATTAAAGTAAAATGACAAAAATTTTATTTAAATCTTTTATTTAAAAAATCTTTTATTAAAAAAATTTTGCTTAAGTTTGTGTAGTTGAATATAAATATTGACTTTACTAAACTGTTTCATATATGTAACATTTATTTTTATATGGAAATTATATATAAATTTTCAATTCTAATCACTTTTCGCAGAAACTATACACCTGACACATCTTCATAAGAATTTAATGATATATATGCTTTAGAATATATTAAATTAGGCGAATGTAAATTGGCAGATCGATGGTTTCTTAATAATTGGGCTCATCCACGAAATTTGAAGCACTTTCTTATATGTAGACTTTTTCGCTTTCAGTTTTCTCGAGGATCGTAGCAGGATCAGATAGTCCTTAATTCGTCGCGTCATCGATGTCCGCCGCACAGTAAATCGAATTCAGATCAAGGCCGCCACAGTCGAGACACGCAAGCGAGATTTTCAGATCAATTACGAAACTGGAATGAGCCTCTCCGTCGTGGCGCATAAATTAAAATATGTTTTCGTATCTCGGGATGATACACGCGTCTCGCGATTGCACTAACTGTGAGACTTTTAACGATCCTTCGCCGGATGCAAATCGAGCGAGAAAAAAACGTTTTCAGGGCGCGTCCTTATAAAAAGACATTTTTGCAATTCACAAATGAAGTTTTCCTTCGGCGCTCGCGGCAGCGGATGTTTTTCCTGCAACGTATCCTGTATCGCGTTATTTTAACGAAGCACATTAATTCCAATTAACTCGGAACGAGCGAGTTTTAAAAGTTTACCGCAGCGCGGATCTATATATATTAACGACGTAATGAGAAAAATAATAAACGGATGAATTTCCACGTGTACCCGCGTTTTCTCATATCTTAGAAATAAAGATATCCTCCCTTTCCTCTACCGGAATGACGGTCAAGTTTGCGAGGCCTAAGCGTGCCCCACTTTCTAACCCATTACCGAACGATCGTAATGGTTAACACGTCGCAAATGAGTCAGGGAGAAAAGAAATAATGAAACTGACCTCTTCATGTGTGATTTCTCAGAATCTTTTATTCAAAGGTTCATCGAGAACGCTACGTTGGTAGTATCACTTAGTTTTACAAATATACATACGCAATATTTAAATTTCATATATATATATTTATAAATTTATATATATATATATATTTATATCGACAAACCCTTAAAAAAATAAGGGCATGCCTCAAATCGGGGAACAATTGATTTGGCGGTCTTCAAGGATTATTTCTGAGGACGGGAGAAGAGGTTTGACACAGGAAGAAAGCATGTGTTTACCGATAGATCGATATCGGTCGTTGCTTTCATTGGGATATCGGAAATGCGATAGAGCGAAGGGGATACAGTTATATTACATATGAAATCCCACTCGCGGATCGTCAAGCCATTGAAAAATCCGCGATTTCTCTTCGTAGGATCGAGTGAGGCGCGATATTTTGCTTTTGCTTCTGCCGGTTTTGAGTGGAAATGCGCGCAGCTCTCGTCATCGTCATCGTTATTGTCGTTTTTATGATTGATCAACGTGGCCATTGTTGCCGCCTCGTAGCCTTCGGGAGTCTATCACAAATTGCTGACGCATAATGAACGTTAGCTTTAATTACCAACTGATAACGAGGCACGCCCAAAAGAATATAGCGTTTTTCCTTTTATATAGAGTGCTAATTTCGGGTGTAACCTAAAGACGAAGCTAAACGTCATTGCTAAAAGGACATCTGTGAACGCGAAGCGGATAGAAAGTTTTATTTTATTCCATTCATTTTCAGTCCATTAGACTCCGTAATATTTCAACTGAACAGGACTAATCATCACAGATACGTCGTTCTCGACGATAAAAGTATCGAAAAATATTGGCAACTAAGAGCGGTCATTGGAGTCTAACAGACTAACGATGATCTTTCTCCTCGTTTCCTCCATGTGCCTCGTCGCCGCAATCGCCGTCGCTCTTGAAAATCTCGAGAATACTTGGCTAATGCGTTGATCGGCGACTTCCGTAGTTGAATCGCGAGGATTCACGACGTGCCTTTCGACCGACATCAGGTTGAGGTACGGGGAGGAAAGGATTAACAGGACTAAGGAGAAAGGAGGAGAAATTTGACTTAGACGAGAAAGAGAATCGCGCACGGCAGTTTAGAAGAAGCCGTCACCGGTCGGGTCATTCACCCAAGGATAATTGTTGGGACAGCGGACACAAGTCTGAAGGTTGATAGTCTCGCCGGGCACCTCCTTTGAAGTCAGTTTGCAGGTGTGGGGCACCCAGCACGCCGGAGGTCCCTCCACCGTACACTTTTCCCGCCAGGGCTCAAAGTTCTTCGACTCGGTGATGGTGCGCGGGTTCTGAATCCATTGGATCACCTGAGTCATCGTCACGAAGTACACATCATTGTGGCTCTGCAAGATTTCGTCGATCCAATATAAGAAGGCGTCCAAAAACTCGGGATTGTTCTTCAGCCAGGCGGCGTGGAAATAGAGGCCAAGGGGAGCACGATTCTGCTCGTAGTGACGATCAAAATTGTGATTGAGGAAGTTGTAAAATTGATCGCCGGTCAAGATATTACTGCATGAGTCCACCATAGCGCAGCCAGGCAGATACTCGTCGTTCTGTGGATCCTCACGCCGATCCAGCTCATTCATTACCATCTCCCATACGGCGTGTGATCTGCAAACAATTATTCGTCATATTTATGTCAACTGTCATTACGATTTGTTCAAAATGTTGTTTTTACAGTCAGGATTAATATTCACCTAGTGGGACAGTGCTGAAGATTTCCGTGACAACGATGTGGCATTCTGAAGTACATGGTGTAGGGCCATAACGGAGGGTTGTTCAAGGCCGCAGTGATGGTGGAATCGTATAGAAAAGCCTGCTCCTCCATCATGGTGAACTGATTGTTACCGCCAACTCGCAGATACGGCGCTCTGACGCCGACCACGCTGTTATCCGTCAGATTTGCAAACTTCTCGGCGATGATCCTCATGCCAGCCATCTCCTTGGCCCAATCGTCGACGGTTGCGTCCGACCAGAAGCGCTCGTCGTCATTGTGCCTTGCCCCAAAGTTGTCATGTAAGCATTATGTAGTGACCGTGTTCTGATTTTTAACAATTATGACTATGGTCATGAGCGACATGACATGACGCATCGTGGGAACAGGTGTACTCGTGAACCTGTCCTCCAATTTACAAACTCATGAACCTGCTCTCCTGGGACCTTGCGTACGAACGGGTCTCTCCGTGGTAACTTCGCGAAGAAAGTCAAATCGGGGCGGTGTTTTCTAAATGGTATGAAAATGAGAGAAATGACAATGTTATTAGAAGAAATTAATTCTTACGAGATTGAGTGGACGGCGATTTCGTGGCCTTTCCTGTGCATCTCCTGGACCGCGGAATAGTTGGTATACTTATGCGACACAAAGAAGGTTGCCTTGATATCGCAGCCGTTTGGATTCTTGCGCTTGCTGTTGAAGATCTCTTTGTAGAGACCGATGTTGTTGTTGTTAATGGCATCGTCGAAAGTAATTGTGACCATCTGAGGAACATCCTTAGACGGGAGATCACCGGGTATCGTGGTACCATCCTCCGAGCAGAAGCAATCGGGCAGAGTGCACACAGAAGGATCGCATGGTGGAGCTCTATTGGGATCGTTGTCCATGTCTGAAAAGTCGAAAAGATTGCAACCGTTCTGAATTTGAATGTTTCAAAAAAAAATTTTTTTTTGCGATCGAATTAGAATGAAGACTACTGATTTCCTTTAACACCAACTTACCGCAAATGTTTTCATCAGAGCCGTCACTGCAGTCCTTTTCTCCGTTACAGAAGAGACCTCTCTCGATACAGGATCCGTCACCGCACGCAAGAAAACCGTCTTGGCAGAGCGGTTCCTCAGTGTAAAGCAAGGGCTTGGCCTTCCTCTCTTTGTTCTTCAACTTGCAATTGTTGACGGAATCCTTCCAGTCGCAGGTCTGCTTATCGATGTCGAAATACAAACCGGCCGGGCATCTTATCGCCTGCAGACCGGAACTCGTGCACTGGATAACGTCACGGCAATTGTCACCCTCGCCCGCAACCAATCTGAACCATTCGCCCGCATCCTTGTCCTTACAAATCTCATTCTCGAAGCTCTCTTCCTTCTTCTCCTCTTGCCGTTTAACTCGAATTGAGCCCTCTGAAAGAAAACAAAACAATTTAATAAGCGGTTTTTGTTACCTGCGATTAATTATTTTTACAATTCAATAATACTTCAGATTTAAGAATGTGTATCATTAGAGTTACAATAATATAATAGCATAAAATCATATCTAAAAGAAAACGAATATATAATAATAACATGTACTTAAAGCAATTCCGTTTATTACAATTACTATACAACAATATAACTATTTATGAATTATGTATATTAATATTTCTATATTATTTTTCTATAAAATGTAATTTGTTAAAACATATATCTAAATCTTCTGTATATTAAAAAATATATATAGAAAAATAAGATAAGACTTGATCAACAAGTTTATGAACTTGAAAATACTATGAAAATACATATATATTATATTTAAATCAAGTTTTTTAAGGTTTTTAATTATTAAACATTTCTTTAAAATATATATCTGAAAAAATGGCTGTCAGAATGTATTCGATCCCGTTGGTCCCCTGGGTTCGCGAAACAACTTTGTGGTTGAGCGACAAACGGGGAAAGTTATACCCCCACCAGCACCATTTTCAGAGACTTGGGGCACGGCAGTGACGTCACCCATCCGGGACCGACCAGACCGAGAAGCTTTCACGCTCTAATCTCTTATGCAACCTGTCGTCCCGATGATCGACTCGATTATACTAAATTATCCCTTTTGTTGCCACAAGCATTGCTCATCTGCGATTTAGAAAAATGTAGAATCCACTTATAAAACCTCAGGAAAATATAAGAATAGACTAAGAAAATTAAGCGCCAGATTGCAACGGTACTTTCGCCATCTTGAATGGCTCTGCACAATCTCACGTGTCCACCTATGCGATATCCGAGATATTTTTTATTAAATTATTCTTCATATATATTAATCTTTGTAATTAATAAACATTTTTTAATATATTTATTCTTAATCTATGCTTAACAGATACGTATATATGCACATATCTTTTATAATTTAATTAATGTATAATATTAATTATTCAAGATTCTTATCAGCGCTTTGGAGAACGTACGTTCAACATCAGCTATGATATTGCGAATCACTTCCGGTAATATCGGATTACGATTCTTAACAGTTTATGCGATGTACAAAGAAAATGAAAGCTAAATGTAAAACGGCTAAATGTAAGAAAATAATTACTATATTTAATGGAAAAATTTGGTCCCGATCATGAGATTGTCAAGTCATTGTAAAAATCGTTTCCTACATAAGTTGCGGGTAACGTTTGGTGGTCCCTTATATGTTACCTCGCCGGGAATACATCAAACATATAGATGAAACTTTTTATTTAGAACATATAAACGGAACTATTTATGAGTTTAAATTAGCGAAAACGGAAAACTACACACATTTTAATTACTTTCGCAGTGTTTTTTTTATATAAAAGTAAGCAGCTAGAAGAATAATTTTGAATTAGACTAAATGAGCCAATATACTTGTAGTCCTTCTTTTTCTCTAATTTTCTCTAATAACATTCTCCTCGTCTAACTGGTAATATACAGCTAATCTTTATCAATGTTTAAGATTCATGCGGAAATATGATAGCCGCATATACCGGTTGACGAAGAATGATATCGGCGATAGCGAGAGAGCTGAGCAGAGAAATCTGCTACTCACCGGCAAAGACGAAAGCTGCTACCAGGAGCAGCACCAGCGAGGATCTCATGCTCCTCGGCAGGGTATACAACTTCCTCTTCTCGACCACGTCTTGCTACGAGCTGCTTCCAGGGTATCACCTACTTCCTTTTACCCCTCAATCACTCCCGTTCAACTGATGTTCAAAACGCTACTGTTTAGGAAGGGATAAAAGGGAACCGATCGGAATGGGGTAGCAATGTACTCGTTCACCACTTCCGGGAGGTAGGGTGCGAGAGGGGATCAAATGCTCAAACAGGACTCTAATTCTAGAATGAAGAAGATCCAGGCCGCGAGACGCCTAACGGTGATCTTCTTCATGTAACGGCACGAGAGTCGGGCGAGGACGAGTAATGCCTTCAAGGACGCGGACCTTGAAGGTGTAGGTACCGCTCACGGACTGACTGAGGCCCGCCACTGGTCGGGCCTTATATTACCACCACCACAACGGTGCACAATCGGGTCCCCTCTTTCGCATCTTTGAGTATTGCCGTCCGCGTAGATCGTACTTCTGCTGATTCAGGAACGTACGTATGAAATCGCCGAGACACCTTGTTTTCTGATATATCCCTGGCTTGATATACCGTCACGACGGTTACGAATCCGATTGAATCTGAATGGAACAAACGCTATAGCATCCTTCCATATAGGTATTAAACAATTGCTGACTTGATAATCAGTAGTCTTTGACATTCAACATGAATGTGCTTTTCACCTTGAAAACAACGTAACTTCATGATTGATATAATAATGTTCGAATAATGTGAGTTTCAAAAAAATAATTAAACATGTGAGTACAAAACTTACAATAACGACAGTATGAGTTTTTCTATTGTGCTGGATGCAAATTCAATCCTACAAAGCTATGTAAATTGAAATATATCTCCTTGAGGATATTTTGATCTATGACGATCATCAATCGCACGATCGTTCATAGGAAGGGAAAAGTAATTGGTCAATAATTTCCCAACGATATGAAAGTATAAGGTACAGCAATTCATCGGTGGGGTAGGTTCCAAGCATATAACCTCGACCTAGGAACTTAAAGAGACGTATCTGCATCTCTTGGCTCTAATGCTGCTTCATTATTTTATGCACTCCCGCAAAAAAAACTCCCGTACAATGCGGTATACGTTTCGCTATTCTCGTCGATTTTATCTCCATGGCTATTAATTGAAAGTACATAAATTAAGTTCAGCGACACGGAAATTTATGGCAAGTGATATAAGAATGATAAAAGAATCGTATGACCGATCATTATGTGGAATATTTCTTTATAATAATAGGGAATGTATTCCCTATTATTATAAAGAATCTATGCTGTAAACTTTTTGAAACACTATAAAGTTAATAAAACTATAAAATCGGTAAATCAGAATAATTTTAAAACAAACAATTTATTTTATAGTTAAATTAATTTTAGTTCGTTTTTACTGTTATTTTGATCATTTCACACGTCGCTAATTACTTATTTCACTTTTTTTATATTCAAATTATTTGACTATACATTACACGTTATTGTAAACTTTCTTTATACCAATATTACGTTTTATTACGTTTAAGTTTATATTTTAGTTTTAGATTTAGTTCAGTTTTTATGTTTAGGTTTTTTTTGTAAGTATATAGCTGATATCTATTGTTGCTAATATTTAGTCTTTTGCAAATTAAACCTTTTAGATGTATAGTCCCTTATATATCTACATCTCAATAAAGATCATAAATTATTATTATTATTATTATTAAAACAAACATTATTTTATTATTATTACACATTATATATTATTACTATTAAAACAAACATTGAGAACATACGTTGAGAACTGAAACTTGATTTTTTTTTCAATATTTTTGAATAAAATAAGAATATCTCTAATATTCGTTCGCCTAAACAAGGGTATCATCGCTGACATTTGAGAAAAATTTACGCTGACAAAACGAGAAAGTGATGAGAGATGATGTAAGTTTGTCAAGGTCGAAAAAATGACGACTTCCTTCGATCGTTTAACATTTTGGCACGTAAAATCAAGGTAAAATCAAAGTTTGAAATAATTCAAAAGTGCAATCAAAATTGCAGAAACTGCGTCGCCGTTGAGATACCATCGGAGAAATGACGATAGTACTTATGTTTCTTTTGCGCATCATGGATTCAATTAATGATCTATAATCGCTTCTTAGTTTATCGGCTTTAAACCGCAGTGGGTCATTCCCCCCGATGGGGAAGCGAATCTTCAAATCGCCCGTTGAAATTGTTTTTATTGTAGCGACGAAATGTCGCAACGATTCTAGCAATTTAAGTTATTCACGAATTTGTAATCGGTCAGTTTGCAACGTCAAACTTTCGCGCGTTTTCAGAAAGAACGATTTTGCTGAAATATCTAAAAATTTAGATGGATACAGATTAGCAAATAATTTTGTTAGACCACTAAAATAATTACGCCGGCAACTCAAGCACTATAAAATCGAGCTTTCACGCGTTTCACCTAGAAAAAAAGATTTTTGCTGAAATGTCTAAAAATTACGCAAATACACGGAAAGAATAATTTTATAGAAAATATCTAAAAATTTTAAATTAGATACAGATCTGAAAATATTTTTGTTGGACTATTAAAACAATGTAGGAAATTCAAACGTAATGAACAAAATATTGTAAAAGAGATGTTGCATTCTAACAATCAATTAAAACGTTATACATAATTATTTTGACATTTCAATAAAATTAATTTCTAATTTAATATCTAGCAAAATTGTTAGTTATTTTATTAAGAGCAAAACCGTTCTTTCTGTGCAAAAACATTTAAAAATAATTTTATTGAACTATTATAATAATTATGTGGAAAACTGAAACATATATAATAAGCTTTTGCGCGTTTTACTCAGAAAAAAAACATTTTCTAAAGTATCTAAAAATGTAGATATATACATATATAGCTATCGATTTCAAAGTAATTTTGTTGAAAATAATTATGTATAAAAAATTTTGATATTCCAGCAAACTGCTTCAACATTCTAAGTAATTATTTTGATAAGCCAACAAAATTATCTTCAGATTTGTATCTAGCTATATTTTCCTGTGCTTCCGGTAAAACAACGCGTATACGCGTATACGTCGCAAATCTGAATACGTATACATATCAGCAGTCAAGTATAAACGCCGAGTAAAACTAGAAAATAAAGCATTCTCAAGCGTAATTGCTGGAAAGTCGCGTGAACGATACTATTAACGTTATCACTAACGTCCGAGTATTTTACGTAATATTTGTTTATATCGATCGCGAAAATTCGCCTGCATCGCGCGCGGCAGCTTTCTATGATGACCTAAGATTTTTACATAACGCTGAGAAATGAAGCGAATAAATATTCGTTCGTCGCTCCTTGCTGTCATTTTGCATTTTCTTGCAATATTATTTTACACGAACGAACCACCATCGTGCTGCACAGCGCCGATCTATCATCATCATTGTCGACGCCGTCGTGGATTTGCGGTCGAAAGTGAAACGATCGTGAACGCAGTTTCATTTGCGGATCGGGTGCTGATCGCCTCACGCGCCAACTAATGATAGACCGATAGATCGAAATATTACAGTATCGTGACATACAATCGTCTCTCGAAAGCGGCGGCGCCGCACGCTGTCTTTCTCGACGCAATGCCGCACGACGCCGTAATCACCCGCGGGCGTCCGTTCGGTCAGATCTTTTTCAAATGTCAAAGCAGAAGAAAGAAAGAGAAAGACAAGGGAGGAGGGCAAGGGCTCGTTTGGCATTTTGGACGGGCCCGTGCGGACGTGCTTATTGCACCATCTCGTCGGACTAACTCTCCAGATAAATGCCAAGCGGTGCTCGCGAATCTCTTCGTGGATTCCGGTATACGAATCGCTTTTCGTTGCGAGCCGATGAGTCGGCGAGAAAAGCATTGTGGACCTGTATGAGAATGCCACCCTTTGTCGATTGCGAATTCCACAGCGACAATACGCGAGCATGTATGCGGCGATCGCCGTAACATGCAAAAGCATGTTCAACGTTTCAATTTAGCAAATTTTTTATTAACAGTCGTGCATGCACACAACTTTATTATTTTAATTATTTGTAGCGTTTATTCCGAACGAATATCTTTCGCGGTTTCAGTAAATACATAGAAGGAATGATTTTGCTGGAATATTAAAAAATTTAGATAAATATATAGATCTGAAAATTATTTTGTTGGATCGCCAAAATAATTATGTAGAACGCTTCAGCTGGAATATTAAAACTTTTTGCAGTATTACTTATCATGCTTGAGCATCCTATGTAATCCTGTTCAAACTCTCTGAGATGCTGTAATATGTATGCCCAAAGACTTTTTTCACGCTGAATTACACGGTGTCGTCAAAATTTGTAATAAATTGTAGTAGAAAAATTCGGAAGAAAACACTATTTTTACGTATTTAAATTGACAGGGCTATGCAAATTCAACAACATGGTGTTTCCACGTAAAAACAATTTTAGGGTACTATGGCACTTTGGAAAGAACAAGAAAATCTTTTCTTTTTATCATTTATTGTGTCATTATTTTGATAATTAAACAAAATTATTTTCAGATCTGTATTTAGTTAAAGTATTTCAACAAAACCGTTTGCACACGCTCGAGCATGAAAAAAGTAAAGCATCTTTCGAGTCTTTGGCGTTTCGTATTTTCTAATAGCATAATCGGATATTGCGCGCCTCTCCATATGGTGCAATCACCGGCACAATGTTCACTGAACAGTGAACTCAAAACTACTAGAAAGTATGTCTCGATTTTAATGCACAACCACTGCAGTCAATACAAAACTTGCGTCCTAAACTTTTCTCAGTGACTATTTGATATAACACTATTTATTTCACCTTTCCGCGCTTTGTCTCGTGCGTCGCGTCGCGTCGTGCTGATCGGTGCTGATCTTACAATGGCACGTTTCTTTCCGATGCAATCGCAGGCACGTGCATCGGCTTCGTCGTAGGGGATCCGTCGCGGATCCACACACGCCAGGAATTTGCCCTTTGCCAGATATAAAACCAGCGACCGTGCAAAATGCCACTTAGCTTGCCTAAGTAGCGACGCGAAAGTATCGAAACGCGCTATCATTATCGTTCAATTACACGACTTAACGGCATTCTTATTGTCGCT